TTAAATATAATTTATCCACAAAATATTAACATTTATGTTTACAGGATTTAAATCAAAATGCTTAATATATTCAGAGTTATAGGACAGGTGACTTCAAAAAGAAGAAGAAATTATTCTAAGCAGTATGCAGGCTCTGTTAATGAGATGCAAGCTCTATCACTTTTAACACTTCAATAGCTTATCTTAAAGGAAAAAGCTATTTAAGTCATTTGGGTAGATCAGAAATTCTGCTAGTTTTATTCTGGTCCCCTGCCACCTACCCAGACGTACAAGAGTGATCCAGAGTATCTGACTTTCAAATGAAGGATGTGAAACTAATACCAAAACCAGTGTTTATAAAAACTTTGTTAAAAAGTCTCTAGAAGAAAGAATTTAGCAATCAGGATTTTTTAGTAGCCTGAAAAATCTCCTAAATGAGTGGGAATGAGTGGGGGGGTATGTTCATTATGGAACAATTTAGCGTTCCAGTTTATTTTGAGCACATATAAAGAGTGCTTAATAACACCAGAGAAAAGCAATGTTTTGCTGTCAGTGAGAGTGCCACACACTCACCTCTTCCACATCCTGCCTCCATCTTTGCTTCCCCTCAAACTAGGGAGCTATAAACCATCATTTAAATTCCATCCATCAGTAATAACTTTGGCTAGAAAGAGACAGACTGTTAAATTTCAGCTTCATGTCAGACCAGAAAGGTACAGTTTGAGCAGTTTAAATCATTCCATACCTAAGGATAAGCAGCTGCTGCTCCTGAAAAACAGAAGATGAAAACCTGATTGTGGATGCTGATGGTGTTGTCTTAATGCACTCCTGGGATGATGACAGCAATAGCAAGATTTTGATACAAACATTTTGACACTCAATTCCGAATACCATCAGAATGAAAGGTTTTGCCATACCTGACAACATCAGTGAGCTGCTGATCACTGGCATTTTTGTGCTGCCCCAGCCATGGTTAATAGGTCGTTTCTTCCCACATTGGCACAAGCCAAGCTGGTTTTGATAGTAACAGTCAAAATGTAAACGAGGTGTCACTAATTGCTGTTACTACTTTGTAACTGTCCAAGTATGACATTGGGAAGGCTTAAGAGCTATTGCCTGAATCTTTCATGAAAACCCATCTCAGTGCAGGCATCTGCTTTTAATTCTCCTAAGTGCAGAAGGAGCCCCAAATAAGAGGATGGTAAACATATTTTCTATTATAAAAACCAATAATTCCCTTGACTCCATCTTTTTTCCCCCATTTATTCTACTTCAAGTTAAAAAGTGGTAGGCTTAGAGGGGTGGTTTTTGGTTTGGTTTTTTTTATTTAATTTGTTGGTTTACAAAAAAAGACATGGTTTTTTTTTCTGTAGTTAAAGTATCTTTACTGTTTCCTGTTTCACTTGTTGCACTCACTGTCTTCTTCTTTTAAATTTCTGTCTGTGATGAAATTATCCTGTATTGCTTTAAATTCTTAAGGCTAGAAAGGCTGGTAACCACTTTGTGCCATTTCCCAATTTAGAATAATACTCTTAATCTGTTCCAATCTTACCCACTCTAAGATATTTAGAATTTATTTACTATTTTGCAGAATAAGAGCTTAAAAAGCCATAAGTTTCTTTAAAATTATACTGGTTATACAACCAGCTAAACAGATAGCAACTAGATAAACCAGAGAAACTAAATATATTATTCATCAGATAATATAAATATTAAATACTTTAAAATTTTGTGGTTTGTATTATGTTATTTGTTTAGTTGCTTATATTTACATTCGGAGATAGGGGAATAACTCAATTTGTTACCTTGAGCATTTATAGGAATTTCAGTAACCATTTAAGTATCAAGCATCTCCGTGTTTTACACTTAGAGGAGAACAAAATGTGTGGAGGTTTCCAAGGCAGCAGATGAAACAAGCCAACTTTACCATTGTTCTGACTTTTTCACAATGTCACTGTCTTGGGTTTCACATCCAGATAGAGATGCTGTGAATAAATTCTATGGGTAAAGAAGCAGAAAATAAGGAGGAAAAGAGGATTTGCCGTGTGGATTCATTATAACAATGTGGAACACAGAGTCTCACACACACAGGCTTTCCTTACTCCCTACGGGATATCTGTCTGTAGGCCTCTATCAATTTCTAGGAGATTTTCTATGTGAAAGGATCCTCCAGTTAATTTCAAACTATAGCTTGTTTTAGATTTATCTTTCTCTTATATCTTCACTCTTCTTTTCCTCTTTTCAAACCTCTGTTTAAAAGGGGGGAGAGGGATAGATTTAAAAAAAAAAAAAAAAAAACCACACACCAAAACAATGCATACAGTGTTATGTGTGCATCTCCAGAAGCATTCTATGAAATACCACTGCTTCATGCTGACTAAAAATACAACTTGCTGTATTCTTCTTGTTGCTCATGGAAAATACAAGCTATTTGTTCGCTGATTCTTCTTCACATGCGTACAGCAGCATCATCGCTGGGGAATATGATGTTTCAGGCTGTCAGAATAGCAGAAAAGAACAAGAATCAGGTAGTGGAGAACAGGAGGCAGATACCAGACTGTCTCAGCAACACAGACTGCTCAGAAACACAGACTGTACTGTAAGGATAGTCTTCAATATGCTTTAAAATGTGAAATCGGGTAAAGAGCAACTCACCTTGTAGGTTTCAAAGACTGACTCCAGTCTGATGCTGAGAACAATTCCCTCCTTATGCAAGTAAATGTCATGTGAACCAACATATAAATCTGCAGGCCACAAAGCTTCTCCTTTCAAATGTGATTTCTAACATAATTTTATTTTCTATTTGGTGAAAACAATCCTACATGGAAATCACTTTGGCAAGCCAAGTGGAAACAGAGAATGGAAACCAGCAAGATTGTGCTGTGAGGTACTAGTTTTAGGGTCATTAGGAATGTTAGAGACTTTCAGGATGCTATGACTCTTCCTCCAAAAAATTAAATATTAAATCTAGATCTTTATTAGCTGAAAGGCCCTTTATCCACAATTCATGAGAAATGAGACAACATTTGGGCAATTCAGGGTAACACTTCAAATATTTTTCTAAGTGTCACTGATCTTATCACCCCGATCTGGGAAAAAAAACCTGTTGAAATTGCATTGTAAACTGCTAAAATAAACTGTGTGACTCGGCCAGGAGTGAAACTAACTTGTGTCTTTAACGTCAGTATTTCTCCAGAATCAGTGTAATTTAATTGAAATAGCTCTGCGTGTGTAAACAACTCCTTTGTTTAAAGAAGATTTCACTGTTTAGTTTGCCTTAAGTAAATGCTGCCTTTTGTTTGTCTGTAAAACATTTGATTAAATGTAAAGACTTACACAGACAGCTTCTCCTCATTACAGTAGTGGATGGAAAATAAGTTAAAATGGTGCAGGTATCTGCTGCCTAAGTAAGTATCAAACACTATCATTTGTGTTTACAAGAAAAACCCTTGGAAACATGTGAAGCCTAGTCATAAAATCAAACTGCAACCCTCCTAACACCAAGATGATATTTAAAAAGGTGTTGAAACTGTTCAGTATACCAGATTCAATATATCAGTGTTCCTTGCTTTCTTAAAAAATCTATTTTCTGGTATTTCAATCAAATATTAAATTCCCTCCATAGCGAACTACTGTTAAATATATGACTTTCTACTCCAATGTGAATTAGAGTGTTTTAATATGAGGACCCACACTTTATTGTGATCATGATGTTATTGAACAACAAAATAAGCAAGACAACTAATACATTGTAGCATTATTTTTTCACCTGCTGAAATGCTTTCATAAATCATAATTCATTCAATGTACTATAGACAGAGTGGAAAGTATGTTATTACATATCCAAATAGCTGCATTTACTATTTTAAAAAGCTGAAACCAAAAATTCATGTTTCATCCTTTTTCCCTTGGAAGAACTCTTAAATTCACTTTCAGACTAACCAAACAGAGTATAAGTCCAGTCAAGGAAAAAGCAAGCGGAACCATTTTTTCATGTCCATAGGGCCATTTGCAGTGCAAAATCCATACTGAATTAGCTTTAGATCTTTATACAAATAAGAGGTACACTGTTAGTAAACAGTGTACCTCTTATTTGTACTGCCAAAACACAGGAAATAGAAATGGAGCAGAAACTCATGAGGCATGGAAGGCAGGATGATTTTTAACACTTTGAAATTTGATGTATAGCTGCACAGAGGGTTTTTGTTTGCTTGTGTTTTCTGTGTAATTTGGGGAAGCTTTTCAGGATCAGGATCGAGATGCCAAAGAGACAGCCAAATATCCTTCATTCTCAAGACAGTCAACTGTTCACAGTGCAAAGGGTGAAATCCATTTTGTTTCAAATTGTTTTACACACCATAGGTAAAATATAAGCTATTTTTTAAGCTTTCTTCAAGATTTCAACTTATGTGTCTGTGTTGAACAAAACCTCTAATATGCTATTAAGCTAAATTTTAGTGCTTTTATCTAGTCCAATTCCAGGGGGGTTTTTAAGTACTTAGTTGAAATGGAAATAATAATTGCTACTGGTAAATGACATTAGTATTAATTTTTGAACAAATGTAAATATATCGGTATTGTTCTTAAATAGTTCAAGGATTTTTGAATAGTTATGTAATTCTGAGAAAGCTCTCATGTCAAAAAATAAATAAATACTGCAATTAATTGTAACCTTTTCTTTTACAGTAAATGTTGAGATTTTTTTTCCCTTCATTCTGAGCTGAGTTGTGCCAAAGAGCAGTTATTTGTAAGGAAAAGAGTCTACCTTCAGTTCTCACCCCCAAAACCATTGTGTAAATTACCTTTTTGAGAGTAAGAACTGATGACAATGATAGAGGAATTAATTCATCTTTTTCCAAGGTTAATTCCAAAAGTGCCTAACTGCCATCAATAGTGGTTGAAGTAAATTCTTACGTTAAGGCCTAGAAATCACTGTATGTTAAACATTAATCACATTGTATGAACCAGGTATGCAATTATATTTGCGGGGGGTTTTTTTATTATGTGTCTCCTTTGCTTAGGCAATGCTGGATGTAGCAGCACATCATGGCTGGCTGGTGACTGCTCTGAACATAACCAACCTGGTGCAGATGGTGGTTCAGGGTAGATGGATACATGACTCATCCCTGCTTACTTTGCCAAATGTAGAGCTCCAGCATCTTTATCTTTTTCGGTATGTAATTCTTTTAAGCATTAGCAGGTTTCCAATTTATTTCCACTTTCTGCTGCTGATGGTTTGAATGGCATTGTTGTGCCCGAGAATCTTCGTTAACAAATCAGAAGCAGAGCTCTGTCTTTCACAGTGATGCTTTCACAAATGGATTTTCTGTTTCTGTTTTCAATATTCATTGATTAATTAACCCCCACAGATTATTTTGAGAACCGTGATTCCAGACAAATTAACAAGAGACCACTGGAAGGGTTCCAAGTCCTAACAAATCTAACTCTGTATGTTAATTATCTCTTTATTTTAATCCATTATAAAACTACATTAGTATCCATCTTAACATCATAGATAATGCAAAGCTCTATAGATGCTTAGATGATGCAGTAATTAATGCTAACCAAAAATAAATGACCACCCTTTAAAAACAGAACACAGTATTGAGTTTTACCACCAAAACAACTGAGTACAAATGTTTGCTTTCCCTCCCTGGGCATATGTTTTGCTGTCTGTATCAGGAAATGGAGCCAAGGCCAAAGGAAGAGTGTGCATGGAGGTTACCAAGGACCTATTGAGTGTCTTCCCGAACTAATGGCTGCCTGCGAAGGAAAAGAGAATGTTTTTGCTTCCATTGTGGACAGTGAGTTGCCAGCAGCACACATTTCACAGGTAACACTTTCTCACTGTGACCATTATCATTGTGATTGGAAAGGAAGAGTAGTTGGGCAAAGAAATATTCTCTCTCCTTCAGTAAATACCATGTGATGTTCTGTATAAAAGTGCAACACATTCATTGCTCTAATTTCAGGGTACTGCTGGCTTTACAGAAGTTCTTCTCTGCCTGTTTTCTTAATATTATTCTCACTTATTCCCTGCTAAGCAGTAACAGACTCTAGTTTATGGATGATATTACCACATCTCTCTGCTCTAAAGATGCTTCTGTAGGTCATTCAATCTGCTGAGTGTTATCCACCTTTTCATAGCTCTGCACTAGGAATACATGCATTGCAAATGTCATCATAGCTGGCTTCTGAAGTGGTCTGTCAAACACCATTTTTCTGAGAATATTATTAGTAAAATATCTAGCACTCATTTTATGTTTGAAACAGAAAAAGAAGATGAAAATTTCATACTTCACAGGGGAGGGAAAAAAATACTGTTCCAAAATGTTGAGCTTTAGCAGCAGTCTTGTTTTCAAGGCATTTGCAGCAAAGGATAGCTATATTCCATAGCATTCATCACATTCTAAGCCTATTGATTTCAAATAAATGTAGGAAAGATGAAAACTTCAAAAACAATACTTTAAATGTTTTTTATTTGAATGTTTAAAAGGACAGTTTGACTGTTCAGCTTCAGTTAAACCTTTTACTGATATGCAAACAAGAAGAAAAGTACTTAAATGTCTGTAACAGACATCTGCATTTGTAACCAAATTAACATCAAAATTTTGAATTAAGAAAATGTATTGACATCAAAAAAAGGCTTCCTTTAACAACAGATTTCTAACATAATACACATTGATTTCAGTCCAACTTTCAGATGTGATAAAAAATTAGAACATTGTTATAATTAGTTCAGGGAGAACTCAGAAGTAAACTTACTTAATTTATTTGCATAAATTGCCATTCTGTTATCTTTAAAAGCAAATGCAAATTGGCTCTGTCTGATATGATGATGGTTATTTGGCTCAAAAGTGCTTCAATTTGCGTAGCAATCTGGTGTCGTCTCTGCAGTGAGGCGATCCCAGGTAACATACAAATCCTGAATTATTCCAGAAATTAGTATGTTTAAAGCATCAATTTAAGTGCTAATTGCAGTAGTAATGAGAAAAAGCAGTACTACTGTGAGATTTGCATCTACTGCCCCATCAGTATGCCTGGAACGGCTGCTGACTGGCAGAGGATTTGGCTGCTAATTAAATAATTGTATGCATGGCAGTGTTCTCGTCTGATTCAATAGATGAAGATTAATCCTCAGATAAATATGTTTGGCTGGTATTGAAATGTCTTAGCAGTTTCTTCAGAAATAGCTTGCGTGTATGTGGTGTGTACGTTCACACTGTGAGTGACTCTGTGCCTCTATATATCTATGTTTGTAAATACAGATGCATATAAGAGGGAAAAACATAATGTCTTCCCATCATGTGAGGAGAAACTTTCAGTTCCATGAGCTGGGAATGGCTGTATTGGGTACAGCGAAGCCATGACTGTGTTGTGCAGGGCATTACAAATGTGAAAGTTTTATACCAATATGTTATATTCCTTGCAGTATTTTTTTTTTTAAAAAAAAGTTTAAAACTATTGTAATACCTTGCAGAGAATTAAAATTCATATTGAGACTGCCTGTTGAGTGTCTTCACATGTAAAGTCTTTCAGTGCTCATGTAGAGAGGGGCCAACCAAGAGAAAAATTCTTCATCATCTATATTCTATGTTTTCTATAAAGAAAGAATATCAGACTAGAGAGTTTAAGCTTAGCCTTCTGGCACCAAACATGAACAGAGCCAAATAAAGTGGTAAATATGACACTAAATTGCCAAAACTATTCTTTTCCTGAAAAACCTTTTACTTCTCACTCAAAGTATATTGAACCCATACCTTAAAGCTAAAAATTACTAGCAAGACACTGGTAAAAACAGCTTAAGCTTTGCATAAATTTCAGGCAGATGGGAAAAGGAATAAGTTTTACATTTGGAAAGAAGAAAATGCCTTTTAAGCAGATTGGTAATTAATTTTTAAATAGCAGCTCTTGAAGCTGCTCATGGGTTTGGAATATTAGGCTAGGTCCTGGGGAGACAGATTATTGGCAAAAATACTAATGATGTTCCCAAAGGTTTGTGAAGAATTTTTCAATTGATTATAATTTGAATCTATGGGATTGGTAGATAAATGTATATTTATAGTATGTATGGGCATGTATTTATTGGATATGTTGATAGATTTAAAAGGAGGTGATATGTGCTTGTGTCTTCCTATACAGCAAAAAAACCCATCAAAATTGTCAAAAAATACCTAAGCCACATGGGAGCCTGAGTTTAATTTTACAGAATTTAATATTATAATTCCAAACCTCACTGAAAGTCAGGGGAGCTTTAAAAGCTGACAACCGAAATTCAAACTAGTTAGACTAACCCCACTCTTTGGTGAAAGCTCTATGTTTCAGTGATTCATTGTGAATCATATTTCTTTAACAAATCTCTTTCAGTTTCTAAGTCACTTAGGCATTAAGCATCTTTTAAAATATTGAGTTGATATTGATATTTTGAAAGAGAAAAAAGAAACTTCAAAATTGAAAATAAATAAATATTATCTCTACTTTAGTATAATCTACTTTTACTCTGGAAGTATCTGTGTTCCTGTAATCTTTTTTTCATTTTCACCTGCTACTACTTGACTTTTTTCCTTAGTGAGAAAAGCATTTCTTCATTTCTCCCACATTGCATGCATGATAAAAAGGCAGCCTGCTGTGCATATTCTATCAATGATCAAGCAGAACTAATTTTGCCTATAATTTTCAAATACACAAGACATGATAAATCAAGGAATCATAGAATCCTTTGGGTTGGTAAAGACCCTTAAGATCATCAAATACAACTGTCACTAGCCCTCATAGGATGACATTAAATCTGCTTTCTTACCTCATTAAAAAGTTACTGAGTTACTTTAGTTTGTTTGTGTTATGAAAACTGCATGATGACATGACAGCCTTTGACAAATAGATTGTGTTGGGATTGTATGGTATAAACCAGCCCAAATCATAATCTTCACCAGACTATGGTGAAGCTAACAGGTAACGCCACTAAAGGAGTTATTACATTATGATCTCTGCTGAAATTAAACTTTATTCTAACATATTTGTAACAGGTCTTGTCCTTTGAGATGCATAAAAGCTTTCAAGCTTTTATGTACTTTTGATACAAATGATATCTGAAGTACAACCAAAGAGGTGATTGCCAGGTAGGTTACTATCAGGGTGCCTGTCCTGATCTCAGCAGAAATACCCTGCTTACACACAGAGAGACACAATGGGTCTATAGAGTTCCTACCCTAAGTTTCTTCTTCAAAACCTTTACATTGAACATAAAATCATTTTCCAGAGATGTTCCTACTCAAGTTATCATTCTCTTTGATCTGCTGGAAGCAGGTTTAGTGGTCTTGTTATTATATGTATCAAAATCCTAGCAACAATTACTTAGTTAAGAATGTCAGCAGTATTTTTTTCACCTTCTTCAAAGTGCTGTCCTTTTTTCCCCATTTTCTTTCAGAGTTGGGAAAAAGAGAGATGTAATAATTCCTTAAAGTCCTACCTCTTCAGTTTCTGTTACAATTTTCTTGTCATTTCGCAGCTAAGACACCACTAAGAACATTGGTGCAATTCATCTGTGTCCCCTGCTTTTACACTGCAGTTCCTGAGCACTCACAGCTGGCCCTCCCCACCTTCTGCACTGAACAGACACAGCTGTTCATGCAGTACACAGAAGAGGAGAGAGAGAGAGAGAGAGAGAGAGATTAGTTTGTAGCTGAAGGCAGTTTTCTCATTTAGTTCAGCCAGGCTGTGGTAATGCAGCCATTTTAATCCAAATCAGCCTGTGCTGCAGCCGAAATGGGCAGTGCTGCCCTCCCCGTGCCGCTGTCACCTCCCCTGACCCAGCTCACCCACAGCTGCACAAACGCTGTGTCTGCCTCGGGCAAGGAGGTGGGAATGAGCATCTGGGGACAAGGGGAGGAGGAGGAATCCTATCAGCCCTCTCACTGACAGTCAAAGTGGCCCGTAGCCAAGTGACTGCATGAATGCTTGTGCCAGCAGGGGAGGAGGCTGGACCACTTCTTTCAGTGGCACTGAAGGCTCATGCTTATTCAGAGTTGCAGGATTAGAGAATATGTTGCCACAATCAGCTTTAAGCTGATCTAAGTTCATGCTGTCACCAAAATGATCAGCAAGCTGATCCATCTAGCTGCACAATCCCAGCATGGCAATGCCAACATGCCAGGGATGGAGACAGGCACAGTGAGAGAGAGAGACAGCACCACCTTTCCTAGGGCAGCACAACCTTAGGTCTGCTTTCCCTGGCTGCTGTATCCCTAATCATGCACTGGCATACACTATTATTGTCAGTATGACTCCATGTGCTATTATTGTCAGTATGACTCGTGGCAATGATGTCTGCAAAAAGAAAACTGAGCTTTCATTAGGCCTCTAGGCCTTCCAGCACAGAAAAAGTAATCAGACACATCGAGACAATCAGACACATCAGACACAATCTAAATGAAAATACATTTTGTTGCAACACTGCATGGTCAAACCCATACTTGAAAAATAAAATACGCTTTAGTCTCTTTCCAGATAAAACATTTCTGCTCCATGCTATTGCCCATGTAACTATGCTTACCCTCTTTGTTCCCACAAGTTCCCATTTTGGCATCTGATGGCTCTTTTCCAAGACCAATATTCTTATTTCCTTCTTCTCCTTCCCACCCTCTAGCTTTTCATATATGCTGATTCCTGTTCTTTTCTGGGGATGGAGGGGAAAGATGGCAGGGCAGAGGATGATTCTTGGTCTTTAGTTTTTTTTCTTCCAGCGCCATCCTCATCTATCTTTGTCAGTCATAGAAAGGCCACAAATCACTGCCTCCATTCCACAGCCAATACCATTTCTTTTTCCTAACAAATTTCATTGCATGAACGTGCTGATTTTCTTTTTTACTAAATGAAAGCCTACATTGCTCCTTTCCATTTTTGTCACAGCTTCTCAGAGCTACTTTTCCTTGTCTGATAGAGACCAAAATGAGAGAAACATAGGGCTGCATATTCAGGATGCCTTTTTAAGATTAAGAGTGTCATGTTGAGCTACACAGATTGTATCCTCTAACAACAGTTCTCTGCACAAGGATGAGAAAGTTGAGGACCTGTTGCAGTTCAAGGGAGACTGCAGAGACTTAAAATTCCTCAGGAAGTCTCTAAGAAGGAGAGTTCATGAGGACTGATGCAAGAAAACCTCAAAAAAAATAGGGATAACTTTGGATATGCAGTTGAACTTTTGGTTAATTATCTGAACTGATCCTCTGAACTCTCTGAGGTTTGCCTATTGCTAATTAGCACTGCAGTGACTTGTTCTTTATGGATTATGCTAAGGAAGTTTAATTTAAAACTTAATTATACTAGTTTTTAAGTGGCTTATGAGGAAAAAATACTTTAATCGGGAGCAGTAAGGAATTTTTTCTGTGTTCAGACATCAGTAATCTTAGCAAGGCATGTGTAACGTGCTTGAGGAGTTTCACATTTGTTTTATTTGCTAGGAAGAAAGTAGCATAAGAGGTTAATGAAAAGTATTTTATGCTTATGATTGAGAGTTGTACAATTATGTATATTCTAATACACAATAAAATAGTTATTATAGAATAAATATGTAAACTGCACATTGAATTGTTATTATTAGAGTGGCAATGATTGTATAGATTATCTCATAATCCATAGGGATCTGTTTTTTCTACAGGCTTGGAATTTTTTGTGCCGTTTGCCAATTCTGAACGTCAGTATGAGCATTAAGGGCAGTTGGGATGATGCAGTTCAGTCTCAGAATGAGGTACCTGTTCCTTCTTGGACAACAGACACACGAGATGACAAGAGATGGATCAAACTGCATGCTGATCAAGAGTATGTGCTCCAAATAAACCTGCACAGAACCCAGATGGGCTACCAGGTACACTTATTTATCATTTCCTTCCCTGCACAAGTGTCCAATAATTCATTTACATTGTCAATGATGCTTTATGCACTATAATAAGTTTCTTTATGGTTTAAGTATTATGTAAGTTATAAGCACTTTCTAAGCCTTTTCTGTATTCATACTGAAGAAAATGGTTTTTTTCAGGTTGCAAAGGGATAGTAAGTAGGCTTTTAAGGTAAAATCCTAGACCAAGCCAATGAAAAAAAATCAAACTAATTTATAAGTTTTCCAGTTATGTTCACAGGTGCTTCCGAACTGCATACAGACTCACACCTATGAATATGTTTCTATTTGTAACATGTCCTCAGGCCTTTACTGAGAATATTTGCCTTATATTTTACATTCGATGCTTTTTTGAACAGCTCCTAGAACAAATTCCATGTACAATTCTTTCCCAGTACATTTGAGTCCCAGCCCTTTGCCCATTTAAAGCACATCTCATTGCCCTCTGGGCTGGTCAGCTCGCTGGGCCCTCAGTAAATCTTGCTGTGCCAAGTCAGAAACTCCAGGAGCTGCACTGTTTTCCAGCTGCTCTGCCCCAGCAGCAATACCTGGCTGTACCTGTGTGTCAGATCTGAAGAGAGCTGGACCTACCTTCATGTCAGGCGCTGCTGACACTGGAGCTGTCACTCATTTATCCAGACCTTTCTCTCTCATTTGCTTGCCATGAATGACGTATGGACCGCCATGGTTATAATTTTGGAAATTAATTTCTCTAACATTTCAAATAATTAAGAATTATAATTACCAGCATTTTGGTAAGATGCAAAGAGACAAAGATAAAAGTAAAGAACAGTTTTAGGTGTTAGTTCTGAGACTCTTAAGACAATTCCATTTTAATAATAGTGGAGATACATGTGTGCTGTTGAAAATCCTGAAGTTATCTTACATTAGTTAAGAATTATATTTGAAAAGTAGTCTTGTTTCTCAAAAGACTTTTTTTCATTACTACAGCAGATTCACTGTAGTTACAAGGGGAAACTGTCTTATTTTAGGAAGAACAAAGGGCCAAAATTATCCATACATCATTCTTTTTGCTGTGCCAGTTACGGGCAGAGACTTTTCCTAAGCAGAGGCCATGGAAGTGAAAGGAGCAGAATCATTTCATGCAGTGATCACTTTTTTATAAACCTGTCCTAGAATTTGATCCCTCTTTTGTAAAAAACAGCTGGATCAAACTGTTCCTAAAGCTTCATTGGTGTGGTGGTGTTTCTGCTTCCATATAAATCTTCAGTAAAACCTTTCCCTCTAAAAACACGAAATGAATGTTGATTGAGTGTGCCTCATTCTGTCTTCAGCTTCCAGCAGTAAAGTCACTGTCTTAAAGAATCACTAAAATAATCTTTCCTTTTTCTATACCAAACTCAAATAAATGCTAAGTGTTGTTTTTGTCTTTATGTTAATCTTGAATAAAATGTATTAGCTTTATTTAAAGATGCTAGATTTACAATTCATGTTTCTGTGTTTGGAATATATTAGATAAAATTACAGAAAGGGAATAGTATTTCCATTGAAGTTTTAGTAGTTTACAAAATAAATAGAATAATATCTTCTATTCTGGATTTTTCTCTGTGAATTGCGATTTTTTATTTTACTTTTTAACCCTTCTTCTGGAAAGAAGTAACACTATTTTAGTCTGGCTAAATTATAGCCTTACCTAACAATTGACAGCAATATGGTTGTGAGGTGTTTCTCATTCAAGGAAAACTGTCATTTTGGAAAGGTGATTTCTAGTTTTCCTAAACTTTTTCTTCTCCTCAACAGGGAAAGCAGGACAGTAAAGCAATGGCTCCTCGATTCCCCAAAGTTAAGGATGAAGGATGGTTTTTGATATTGGGAGAAGTTGATAAAAAAGAACTCATCGCCCTGAAAAGAACAGGATATGTCAGAAATCGAAATACTGTTTCCGTTGCTTTTTATACTCCAGAAACTCCTGGAAAGTATGACAAACTCTCAAATTCTCCTAGTTATTATGTTTTCCAAGCAATTCAAGACCCAATTCCCAAACTAACAATGATGCTTTTACTTTTCAGGTGTATCTACACCCTGTATCTCATGAGCGACAGCTACCTTGGCATGGACCAACAGTACGACATTTACCTGAACATTGTACCAGCACAAGGCACCACGGAGGGGACTGAGGCCAGGAGCCACCTGGCCCTGAAGTAAGGCTCTCTGCACAGTCCACTCAGCCAAAAGAACTGGTCCTGCAACTAAGACATCTGGTCATTCTGGGACATCCAAAAATGCATCTGCCTTACTGGAACCAACCTCAAACCTCAAGACAACGGGGACACCGAAAGTGACTGCTGTATTAACTCTGATGACACCGAGTTAGCCACAGTGGCCTTACTCCTTTATGAAGATTTGTCTTTTCTTGTTTTATCTTGCTTCTCTCAGAAGTCAGATTGTTAGTTGAATTTTAAAACATCAAAATAAAAGACTGAACAGTACTGTAATTTGTGCAAATTCAGGGCTATCATCTTCATTTTGAAAAGTGTTATATAGCCTGTCTATTAATAGCATTTAAATAGTCAACTTTTTTAATTTATAGGGGAAAATACAAAATTTGATCTAACAGCTGCTGAAAATATTGATGGATGTGTTATATTTCATGTTTAATAAAAATATTCCCAGAATGTTTTGCACTGTATTTGTAGGTGTAAAATATGGGAAGATGTAGTTAAAAAATCCTTTTCATGCATAGTACATTTTGAAAATGATACTCTAAAGAAAAATGTCACAAATTTATATTAATTATATGAGCAGTAAATGTAGTTATAAGGGCAAGCTAAATCATAAAAAATATTTCCAGTATAGCAATGATGCAATTTATGTAGATAATTATTAAAGTTTACTCTTTACGTACATACATATGCACATATATTACATACTTGCAATTTCCTTACCGTTTTTTCTTGAATTTTGTAGGACTAAGGAATATAAAATTGGGTGTCCTGTTCTAGGGCTCAGTGCTAAAGTGGGTGACTAACTTCTGTAAATAAGGGGGCATGAGGCTCCAGTAAGGGGGGTTGCGACAGGAGGCATGATGAGCAATGAATGGTTCCGCTAAGCAAAAGAAATTTTAAGAGATGGCCAGCTCTGTGACAGTACCTGCAAGGCATAAATCTGAAGGCAGAAGGCAGCAGCATCTATCTTGTGCTCACATTCTGAGGCCAGTCCTCAAGAAGATTCAAGATGCTGAGCAAGTACTTGGAGCCAACATACTTAAAGAAACATCAGTGCATCTTCATTCAGATAGACTAGACCTTAAACTGAATATTAATATTTGCACTTGCTCAGCTTTGCACTGAGCTGATAAGCATTACCTCTCCAAGGGATCATTTTGCTGTCATTTCCGTTGTATTTCACCAGATGAAAGGATACAGCAGAGTTGTTACTAGAAGCTTTCCAGGAAAAAATGGCACTGCTGATGCTGCACCTACACAGAATCACAGCATGGCTGATTTTGGGAGGGGCCTCTAGAGGTCATCTGGTCTCTAACACCTTTCCTCAGGCAGGGCCAGCTAGAGGCCAGGACCACATCTCCAAATATGGAGACTCCACCACCTCCCGGGACCACCTGTGCCAGGGTTTGGTCAGCCTCACAGTTAAAAAAAGGTATTTCTTGCAGTTCAAGAGGGACGCTTCTGTGTCACCAACAGGTGTGCCTGTTGCCTCTGGTCCTGTCACCAGGCACCACTGGAAAGACCCTGGCTGTGTCCTTATCAACATCCTCCATTCAGATACCCACTAACAAGATTTCCCTGAGCCTTCTCCAGGCTGAACAATCCCAGCTCTCTCATCCTTTCTTCATGTGAGAGATGGTCCAGCCCCTTCATCATCAATTTTGTGGCCTTTTGCTGGACTCTCTCTAACAATTCCAAGTCTCTGCCTCAAACCAGACATGGTGCTCCCCCACTAGTGAGGCCTTACCAGTGCTGATCACCTCTTGACCTGCTGGCAGCACCACACTGCAGCAAGCAGAAGGCTGGCTGATTTCAAAGGTTCAATAGTTTACCAGTAATTTATTTCATATCTGGCACCTTTAAATTGTGGGAAGCAATTTTTAAAAGAGCAATTCTTTACTTGAGTGTATGCATGCTCTGATCATATTAAAAATGTTATATTTCATTATTATAGGTAATATATTACCTATAGAAATTATAGGAAATATATTACCCTGAAAACATGGGACGATGATAGAAAAAGTTGTCACTAAATTTAGAGATGGATAGATAATACAAAAGCTGCCTTTGCCACTTACACTACATCAGTGTAATATGGTGTTGTGTCACAGAAGAAACAGATTTTTTTCAAATTGTTAGGCAATAGTTTGGCAATAGTTTGTTACTCACACATTGTGTTAGACTATTTTAAAGAGAATTGTTTCATCTAATTTGGAAGTTTAAATTTTCAGAGAAATTAAGTCATTTCTTTGGAAAACTTGGCTGAAACAATACATTGTCCCTCAACAATTTTAATTAATTAGGCAAAAGAACTATGCCACAGTCAAACATACCAACATAATGATGCTAGCTCTTGTTGCTTTGTAAATGCACATCACAGAAAGTCTAACTGCAGAGTAGCAGACAATAGCTTTAGTATTCAGTATTAATCAGTTAAAAAGTTTCTGTAATGTCATTTGTGCCATCTGTGCTTTGGTTTGGAAATACTGTATTTCCTAGTGTATTAATTGTTTTTAGAAATAGTTTGGTGGCATTTCTAAATAACATATTTGAATAATTTTTGGTTTTTTCTATGAAAGTATTGGATTCATGATGACAAAGTCTAAAGTAATACAGAATTGATTTAAGCAAATTGATTAGGATCAGTATTTAGCTGAAAAATCCGAGAGAAAGAATTCTGATACATTTGTAACAGCTGCTTAGAAGGAACAATGAATGTGTTCAATCCAGTGATATCTCATGGTGAAAAGTGAGAATAGCTGTCTAACAAAAGTATGAGTACCAAACAGAATAAAAAATAATAATAATAATAATAATAATAATAATAATAATAATAATAATAAATAAAAAATATTTCAGTGATGTAATAATCACCTTTATGGATAAATGAAAGAAACAGCACATAGAGAAATTTTTAATGTTGAGTTGGTCATTCTGGTTTGCAAGTAGGTTTTTATTTTTACTCTCCTCTTCCCCTTCTAGGAGCAGCTGCAGTCAGTGCATGTCTGTTCTGGTATGACACTTCTTCCAAAACTTGGAAAGCCACAAAAAATAGGCACATCTTGTACATCAAGACATATTTAAGTCTGCCTCTGTGACTTCATCTTTTCCCATCATTCCTGTCCTAGTCTGATAATGGCATCACAGCAGTGCCCAGCAGGAGCTGGAGGAGGTTTGGGTATGTACCACCATGCCCCATCTCTTCCGAAGGAGCTCCTATAACACAGTTTGTTGTTTAGAACCTTACTTAAGATTTCTGTTATAGCCCAGGTACTGAATGTGTCAGTGGCAATGTGAAGCCATCCTCACTACTGCAGGTCTTTTTCTGTTGTAAATTGAATCTTTGAAGGACTAAATCTTACCCAGATGAATTCAGGAGTTTATGCTGATGACCCAAAATTCCTCTTGTCATTGCTTCTAGAGATCACCTCCAGATGGTCATCCTGGAGATAATTTCAGGAAGTCTCTTATCAGCCTTCACCCTGGAGCCTAGTATAAGACTTCAACCCTCACAGAATAGGATGCATTCAAAAAGTAATGTAAGTTATGTAATTCAAATTTTCTAGTTCTGGGGTACACACCTAAAGAGAAGCATCCCATGTGCAACTGCCCTTACTCATCACAGCCTGAATCCAAATTCCTATGTTCCTCCCTCAGTCAAGAAAAAGAGTCAATGGTATTTTTAAGACAGTTTGGTTACTACTCCAGGAGGCATCAGTTCTCTAAGACGCTTATTTATGAATAATGGGTTTTGAATCATCACTCTCCTGTCTTGCCTCCACCCCTCCCATGTAAGGCAAACTTCTCTTTAGCTCCTTCCTCTACCTGTAAACCCTACAACCTCACCCTGTTCAGAGACGTTATCCGTATTAGTGGCAGTAAATTATCACAGAAGTAATTAAGATCATCTTTCTGTGATGTGCCATGGACACTATTGTAGCCTATGTAGTAAGTACTGAAACAGAGAAAAGTAAGGCAATACAAGCAAAGTGTATATATTTTTTTCACACCCTAAAGGTCTCCAGGTAAATTGCACATTTTGGCCTTGATTTAGTTGCTTACATGCAAAGATCTAGTGCCATTTATATGAAATATCTCCTCTGGCTTCTACATTCAGCTCCAGAAGAACATACCCCAGCTGCAGAGAGTGTGAAATGTAGTGCTGTTGTATCTTCACCTTCTGTGGATGCCTCAGGTAAGCCATTTGATATCTACATTCAGGTAACCACATTGACTCCCTGTCACATTAGTCAGGTTTGCAATTCAGTTGCTTAACTGCATCTAATTAAATTTAAAATAAACAAAAGTATTTTGATTGCCACTGCAGAAGACAGGAAGTCTTTCATAGGTCATGTGTCACTTCTGTCATCCCCATGTCACAGGGACCCAGTAGTATGAGGTGGATGGATTCAATTTTAATTAGCTAATCAAGCCCATGCTATTTTGCAAGTGTTCTAAATTCTCTCTTCCAAGCAATTTTATGAGGACAATTCTCCACTTATGAGAAAAAATATTTTCTGACAAAAGGTTTGGATGCCATAGGATGCCCAAAGACACAGGTGAGCTACAGAAAGGTTAGCAGGGCTTCTGCTGAGAGGGCTTCTTCTACTATTTCTACTTATATACCATGTCTTTTCTATCAGTTATGTCTGACTCCCACCTGCCTTTCTAAAAATGTATATCTTGTTAAATGTCATGCCTTCTCAGCCTGCACTGCACTTCAGCAGTGAACAAGTTTGTTACTGATGTCATACATTGGTAGTGGTAAGAGGTTAAGCTGCTTTCACATGTAGGGTATGAAAGGAAATTCTACATTAAAAGAACTTCATTAAGTTGGACTAAATGAGTCTCTTCATAAATAATTCCTAGCTCTATGGTAAAGGGATCCTCCACAGTGATTACACCATCCTGCAATTAAATATGTTTACAATATGTTTTTTCCTTAGATCTGCTAATGAGCTCCATACTGCCTCAATGGAATTTGTATCCATGGCTCTCCAAGTCTTTCTTCTGCATCTTTATTTCTAGAAAACCACAACCTTCTCTATTAATATGCCTCCTCAAAAATTTGGAGCATTAAAGCTTCACTAAGACCATGCATTAGCCTTCACTGCTGCTCTTCTCCTCCAGCTTCGTCTCGTCCTACCAAGACTGTCAATAAAAATGTGCATTTGAATATGGAGGGGAAAGGAAAGTAAAAGACTTTTCCTAGTATTCATCTGCTAGAAAACGCATGAAATAAAGAATGAAGAGTGTTCTGGGATGAATATTATCATTCCAAGTCATAATATTCCCACTGATTGTAATGACAGCAGAGGTGAATTGGGCATTTTTGAAAATCACACTCTCAATAACATGATACATGTACAAATAGTTACAGAGCTATTAACTAGATGCTGTTAACTACTGGTAGAAAAGGGAGTCTAGACATATCACAACCCTTTTCTTCTGCACTCAAATCTCTATGTGAAATGTGATGAACCACATTCTTCACACAGTAGCAAATTTGCACCTTGGATTGGAAATAACTCAGTTTATCTCAGGCAGT